ATGGATTATGTAAAGGTAACTCTAGATTTGTAAAGGAGATTTATTACGGTCTATATAAACTTTATATGTATGGAGGATTTTAATAGGTTATTACTTGAATAGTAATTATTATGTGATCAATGGATTAATGATAAAAGTTTGTGGCGTGAAATGAGGAGTATAAGCTGATTGATTTGAAATACTTTTAGCATTGCATGTAGCATCTCTTGCATAGACTACCTATGAACCTTGTGGTTCATATGTAGTTCGTGTAAGGATGTGAGTGCACATCCCCTCCCCTTTTTGTGCTGCATCGCTGTCTCGAGCAACCAACAATCAAGATTCGACATTCACCCATCTAGTCTCAATTTCTAACTATCTTGCAGCACCAAAGCTAATAGTTGCGAAAGAGAGACAGGTCGAAGTGCAACGTTGATTTTCGGTGATTCCAAGAATAATTTAAGTTTTAATCACATTCTTACAGTTTGTGTATGAGTTAGATCTGATTAGTTTTAAATATTTGAATAGGATTTAACAAATTACTCATTTTTTTAGTACAATAACAAATCGGATATCAGTTTTGCATATTTGATTTTCTATCTCTCGCATGAGGTTTAATGTTTATTCAGTTTTATTTTTTCCTATCTTTAATTAATATTTTAGATATTTTGATCAACAGCACTAACAATGATTGTGACATATTTGATGACAACTTTATAGAATTCAGTTTATTATTTCTTTGGTTTGTAGGAATAAAATATTTTAGAATTCTGATTTTATCATATCAAAGCATCTGATCACTTTTGTAATCAATGTACATAATATTATAAATTGTTTTGCAAAAACATAACAAATGAAAGTTTGGAAGCAATCTGCAAAGCTCAAGTTGTTCTTGCTGATCTGAGCTCAAAATTGCATAAAAGTGATAAAATTGTCAGTAACAGATGTTGAGTTTCTCAAAAACTAGGAAATTTGCATTTACTATCAAGAAAGTTAAGAAACTAGGAAATTTGCATTTACTATCAAGAAAGTTAAGAATTTTCCTAATTGCATTTGAAATTTTTCACCTTCCTTAAATGTGTTTGAATTTAAATAAATTGTATTAATATATTTATTATTATAATAAATACTAAAATAAACCATTTTAATCCTAAATTCCATTTGCATTTTATTTATTATTATATTCCAAACATTTATCCAATATTAAAGTTAAAATTTTGTTTAAAGAGATAATTTAGCATGTATCTCTACTAAAACATTTATTTATTCCATTTTAAACAAGCTTAATTTGATCAATGGAAATGAAATTAACTTGTCAAGAAAACAGAACGTAACTAATTGCGTGAAAGAATGCAACCCTAATGAAAATAACATAATTATTTTCTCTCATGAAAATAAAAAGATAATATATCATTTGAATGAACAAAATTCCAATGCTTGATTTTGTTTCAAAGAACATCAATCCTATGGATTCTAACCATTGATGTGTCATCAACGATGCTTGGATCCCCTCAAAAATTTGCCATTTGGTCTCCAGTACCATCTTTAGCTCGAACATAACACCCAAGTTGGAAATGATTGAATATACAAAAAATACACCTGAAATAACATAAAAGAAAGTAAGAAAAATTCTTAAAATGGAAGCATACAAGGAAGGAAGTTACCAGCTGAGCTCCGATCAAAAAGATAATTGAAGGTGTATGCAACAATAATTGAAGGTGTATGCAACAATCCAACTTTCGGACCAGTTAATCAGAGTCACTAAACTTCCAGCTGAACATTTTACATTTACGGGGAATACCTGATCTACAAAAACATCATTTCATTTAAGCTGCCTATGTTAGGCACTTAGATGTGTGTGTGTATATGTATACACTTTTTGTTAAGCAAAGTTATTGTCATTGTACCTCGACCATTATAATTCAGGGATTTCTCCCAAACCTTGTTAAGCAAAGTTATTGTCATTGTACCTCGACCATTATAATTCAGGGATTTCTCCCAAACCTATTGATATAGATGCCAAGTACACCTAATCACAGAATCACAATTTCCATACTAATAAAATAATATTTTAACCTATGTTAAACCCATAAATGTTTCAGGTAAAGTTTTAAATATAATTTTACAAGATTATGGGGAAATGGACATGTGAAACGCCCATGGCTGAGAATTTCCTTGCATCATAGATTTTAACTAACATGGCTGAGAGATGAAAGCTAATATGTTAGTTGAATTGCATTACCAATATTCCTATAAGGGCTAGAACCAGAGTGATTTCCTTCCCCAAGTTGAATTCCTGTCCATTAAAGATAAATTTAAGTGCAAACAAAATATTCAACGGGGAGGGAGAAAAGGCATATAACTTGTTTTTCTTCGGAACCTTTAGTAGAAAGGTCAATTCCGTAACAAGAGAAGCTAAGCACCTTTCAATTGAAAAAACCTGACGAGATAATTATAATTTTACAAGTTTGAGCTATAAACAATAAAATTCCAAAATTAAGAGGTCAAAGATTATATTCACATTAATCTCATATGAAATTTTATTTTAACATTATAAAAATCTAAATAATATGAGACAAAAATTATAATTAATATTTAATATTAAAAAATAAAAACGATTATAAATAATACTACATCTGTTACATAATACTTGTCACATTTACTTGTCACATTTGAAAAAAAATAGTTTGTTTCTAAAATACTTATCATATTTATGATTTCAAGGAAGTAATAAGATATTTTTTGTCTATGTTTACCATTTGTAATGCCAATAATTATTACTTCAATTTTAATGGTTTTCTGAGAGAATTAGTTATTAATTTTAAGGGTAATATGCGTTAATTTACTCAATTATTTATTTAACAGAGAATTAGTATTAAATTAAGGGTAATATGGTTAATTTACTCAATTATTTATTGTAACTTAGACAATTTGCTATTAGTTGAATTAAGCTGGGATCAACCTTGGCTGAAAAGATTGGAGACTAATTACTAGTTATTTATATAAATATAATAATTCGTGATCCGTTAACTAAATTTTATAAGGTGTAAACTTTAAGATTTTATTTATGATTTTGTGATCTTTGAGTATGGGCCATGTGGCCCATTTACATTTTGATTGTTTGGGCTTGCGTGAGTTGGATCATTAGTCTTTTGATTCTTGGGCTTTAATCTCATACTTTGGCATAATTAACTACTTTATCCTTATATTTTAAAAAATATATTGTTTTATCCTTGTAGTTTATCTTTGTTAAACGAAATTATTCTTCTATATATTATTTGACATTGAAATTGTTAACCGATCCAAACTATAAGGATAAAATAGTGTAAGTTTTAAAATATAAAAACAAAATAGTTAATTATGAGAAAACATAGAGATAAAAATATAAATTTTTTTATTTTATTTCATATATATAGAGTTAGTCATGTAATTTTTCACAAGCATTTAATGACTTATTTTTAAATAATAGGCAGAAGGATAATTTCTTCAAATACAACATCTTTACTGATGATAATTTTCTTAGTGGCTGGATCATACAATCTATAAGCCTTGGATTCATCACTAACACCCAAGAATATACACTTATTACTCATGGAATCCAACTTACTCCTCTTCTGGTCAGGGATGTGAGTATGAGCTATACACCCAAAGATTCGAAAATAATCCGTCGTGGGCTTCATCCCACTCCATGCTTCCTCTGGTGTTTTGTCTTTCACTGTTGCACTTACACTCCTGTTGGGATATGCACATACCACTTTACAGCTTCTGGCTAGAACATTTTTAGAACTTTCTTCTCAGCTAGCATTGAACGCATCGTGTTCATGATTGTTCTGTTCTTCCTTTCAGCCACTCTGTTCTGTTGTGGAGTGTATGCTGCTATCAACTGCCTGCATATTTCCTGAGCTTTGCAAAACTCTTCAAATTCATTAGAGTTGAACTCGCCTCCTCTATCTATTCTCAAGCAAGTAACATGTGCACCAACCTCCTTTTCAACACATGCTTTAAAATTCTTAAATGCAACAAAAGCTTTTGACTTCTCATGTAAAAGATAAACCCAAGTTTTCCACGAGTAGTCATCGATAAAACTTATAAAATACCTTTTATCACTGTTAGAAGCCGGATTGACAGTCCACATAGATCAGAATGCACTAGTTGAAGCTGCTTCAAAGCTCTCCATGAACTCTGCTTTGGTATTGATCTTTGTGTTGTTTGCCAACCAAGCAAGCTTCGCATAGTTTCTTCGAAACTTTGAGCAAAGGCATACCATCTACCATTTTTCTGTCCGCAAGTGTTCTCAGGCCTTGATAATTTAAATGGCCAAAGCAACGATGCCACAAGTGCGATTCTTTTTCAGGAAAAACTTCAGCTTGAAAACACATAGGTTTTTTTTGTGCCATAGAAGCTGACAAATAGAACATTCTATTTCCACTCATATTAGTTTGCATAATTAACCCCCTTCTAGGATGATAAAGTTTACAAGTCCCTTGCTGAATTAAAATAGCTAAACCTTTCTCCTGAAGTTGTCCTATGCTCAACAAATTGCTCTTCAATTCAGTTATGTAAAAGACATTTGAGATTACCTGAATAAAGCCATTTATTTGAAGTCGTACACTTCCTTTAGCCACAACTGCCATTCTGGTGTCATTACCCAACTTCACCGTTCGTCGAAATCCTTCCTCCAGCTCTGAGAACCATTCTTTGTTTCCAGTCATGTGATTGGAGCACTCGGAGTCAAGAAACTAGACTTCTTCTCTTTTGGTTTGATGAGACTCAACATAGGACATTAATAGAAGCTCCTCTTCCTCTCCAAGTTCAGCATAGTTAGCCTTCTTCTCCCAACCAGGACACTTATATTAATAGTGTCCCAGCTAATGGCATATGAAACATTCTATAGTGGATTTATTTTGAGACATTCTCCCTCTTCCTCTACCTCGATTTCCTTGAAATGAGCCTCTGCCCCTTCCTCTCCCTAGCTTATCGTCATAGGAGATTCGTAAGACTTGATCTTCCTCCTGATTCCCTTACATTCTTTGTTCTTGAATAAGCAGACTTCCATGGAGCTCATCAATGGTCATGGTATCTAAATCAGTTGACTCCTCAATTGAACAAACAACGTAATTGAATTTTGGAGTCAAAGATCTCAAAACCTTAACCACTACTATGCTTAGATTCATATCTTCACCATTCACCCTCATCTTGTTCACAACTGCCAGAGTTCGTGCAAGAAAGCTATCGATCTTTTCTCCTTCCTTCATATTCAGCATTTCAAACTCTTTCCTCAATGCCTGCAACTGTGCTCTCTTCACTTTGGTGGATCCTTGGTACTTTTGCTTCATCGAATCCTAGATCGCCTTTGACATCCTTTTGTCAAGGATGGTTTCAATGATTTCTCTTTCAATAACTTGAAACAGATAATTCTTTACCTTTAGATCCTTGAGCTTAGCTTCTTCGATGTTCTTTGTCAAGGATGGTTTCAATGATTTCTCTTTCAATAACTTGAAACAGATAATTCTTTACCTTTAGATCCTTGAGCTTAGCTTCTTCGATGTTCTTCCTCTGTATTTCACTTGCTTATGAATTCCCAATTGCTAGTGACGGAATCCCTTCATCCACCAGATTCCACATCTCTTTGCTTCTCAAGAAATTTTTCATCAACATTGACCAATGGTTGTAATGACCGTCAAATTTTGGAACTACGAAATTCTCTGAGGTTGCCATGCTTCACCCTCTGAGGTTGCCATGCTTCACTCACTCTCCTATTTAAGTTAGGCCCTTTCAAAGCTCTGATGCCAATTGTTAAATATCAGATCTTTAGAAAGCTTATATACTAACTAGAGAGAAAACTTATATGATTCAATAACTTACTAGCTATTTATAGCCTTTTACACAAACAAAAACCAAACAAAGTCTACGCTTTACAAGCCTATAGCATAGTGAATATAAACCAAACACTATCCATCATAAAGAATATGTCTTATTCTAATAACCTAGTTGAACCAGTAAACTTAAGTTAAAACAACTAACTTAGCTAACACCATTTACTCAATAATTTATTGTAATTTAGACAAGCTTAATGATTTTCTAAGAAATATAAAATTTCAAATGTGACAAGTATTATGGAAAGAGGTAGTATTTTAGATATATTGAACCTAGACACTCTATTAATGTTAAGATAACCTTGATATTTAATATATATCTATTAAAACAATTAGTCATGTACTTGCATGATGCGCGATTATGTAATTTTGTATTTTTTATTGCATAGATGTAAAGATTTTTTGAAAATTCTCATGAAATTTATTGCATATCTATTAAAACAATTGAAAAGTGGATATGCCACGTGTCAACTTTCTAGGAAAAAAAAATGCTTGCTTTATATGTGTGTGTGTGTGTAAGAAGGTGAAATGAGGAAATATATGATGCTTAATTGCTCAATTTATGATTTGAGTAGTAAATGCATGGATTAAGGTTCAAGTATGAATTATTATGATTATGGAAATGTGATTGATTTCTCAAATGGAATCAGATTTCTCAAATGGAATCAAGCTAATTATGCTACATGATGCTTATGTTAAAATGGTTATGGAATTCAAATTGATGATTATGCATGCGTAAATACTTGCATTTTCTTAAGGTTAAATGCTTATGCTAGATGGAAAGAGTGATATGAACTATTAAAAGCGCAATATTGCCCATATAAGCTTAGTGGGTGTCGAGTAGAATAAGAGTGACATGTCTAATATACTATCTAGCAGTATTGCGATCATATAGGTTTTTGCGATACATTGAGATATCCTAGAGTTTGACGCACTATTAGTATATCTTTCGAGCTTAATATGGCTTTCGAGCCCAGTTTCAAATACTTGGTGCCTCATTCAATACAATTCCCATATACAGCTTTCAATCCTAATAAATATTATGTGGATTAAACATGTAATGATGATAACTAATATTATTATGAGATTTTAATATACTTGAATAAAAAAAAATTGTATTCTACATTGATGCGTGTGTACGTATATAAAACCTCTTAAGAATTCTGTTGTTTATGAAGTTAATATGAAGAAGAGTTTTTGAATGTAAATGTTTTTGAATGTAAATGTTTGAATATATATAATTGATAATTTAGTGTAATTTTGGTTATTTGATCCTAAATATGATTGATACTGTGTGTGCATGGACTTGGTAGATAAATATGAAAATCCAAACTTCATACTTTTAATGTTTCATTTAGTAATAATATGAATATCGCTTGATGCTCTTTGATGAGAATTGTGTAAATATTATTTGGTTGTCTATATATTTTACTTGGTACTTGTATACCTAGTAAGTCTATAGCTTAGCGCGTTGAGTTTTTCTCACGTGCAGATACTAATGAATAGATGTGTTTAGAAGAGGACTGTGATCCGCGCCAAATTAAGAGTTACTCATCTATTTTTGATGACATATAATATTTCCTTATTTTTATGTAGCACAAATTTATCTATGGCATGTATTAATATTTATGGATCATGTAAAGGTAACTATAGATTTGTAAAGGAGATTTATTACGGTCTATATAAACTTTATATGTATGGAGGATTTTAATAGGTTATTACTTGAATAGTAATTATTATGTGATGAATGGATTATGATAAAAGTTTGTGGCGTGAAATGAGAAGTATAAACTGATTGATTTGTAATAGTTTGTGGGACTCAAGGTTGAAATTTCATATAAGTGTTATTAGCAGGTTTTGAAATTTGAAATGTTAATATTTTAGGAGAAACTATTACGGTTTTTTTTCTGTAGAATTTAGGTTCAAAGTTGTGCATGATTATGCTAGTGACATCATGAATAAAGTTTTTAATTATTGGATTTAAGAATTTTCTTAAATGCATTTGAAATTCTTCACCTTCCTTAAATGTGTTTGAATTTAAATAAATTGTATTCCTTAAATGTGTTTGAATTTAAATAAATTGTATTAATATATTTATTATTATAATAAATACTAAAATAAACCATTTTAATCCTAAATTCCATTTGCATTCATTATTATATTCCAAACATTTATCCAATATTAAATTTAAAACATTTTTTTAAAGAGATAATTTAGCATGTATCTCTACTAAAACATTTATTTATTTCGTCTTAAACAAGCTTAATTTGATCAATGGAAATGAAATTAACTTGTCAAAAAAACATAATGTAACTAATTGAGCGAAAGAGTGCAACCCTTAAACATAATTATTTTCTCTCATGAAAATAAAAAGATAACATATCATTTGAATGAACAAAATTCCAATGCTTGATTTTGTTTCAAAGAACATCAATCCTATGGATTCTAGTCATTGATGTGTCATCAACGATGCTTGGATCTTCTCAAGAATTCGCCTTTTAGTCTCTGGTACCATCTTTACCACGAATATAACACCCAAGCTGGAAATGATTGAATATACAAAAAATACACCTGAAATAACATAAAAGAAAGTAAGAAACATCTTTAAAATGGAAGCATACAAGGATGGAAATTACCAGCTGAGCTCTAATCAAAAAGATAATTGAAGGTGTATGAAACAACCCAACTTTCGAACCAGTTAATCAGAGTCAGTAAACTTCACCTTTTACATTTACAGGAAATACCTGATGTACAAAAACATCATTTCATTTAAGCTGCCTATGTTAGGCACTTAGATGTGTGTGTGTATATGTATACACTTTTATTTAAGCAAAGTTATTGTCATTGTACCTCGGCCATTATAATCCAGGGATTTCTCCCAAACCTATTGATATAGATGCCAAGTACACCTAATCACAAAATCACAATTTTCATACTAATAAAATAATAGTTTAACCTATGTTAAACCCATAAATGTTTCAGTTAAAGTTTTAAATATAATTTTACATGGATTATGGGGAAATCGACATGTGAAACGCCCATGGCTGAGAATTTCCTTGCATCATAGATTTTAACTAACATGGCTGAGAGATGAAAGGTAATATGTTAGTTGAATTGCATTACCAGTATTCCTATAAGGGCTAGAACCAGAGTGATTTCCTTCCCCAAGTTGAAGTCCTGTCCATTAAAGATAAATTTAAGTACAAACAACATATTCAACGGGGAGGTAGAAAAGGCATATAACTTGTTTTTCTTTAGAACCTTTAGTAGAAAGGTCAATCCAGTAACAAGAGAAGCTAAGCAACTTTCAACTGAAAAAACCTGACGAGATAATTATAATTTTACAAGTTTGGGCTATAAACAATAAAATTCCAAAATTGAGAGGTTAAAGATTTATATGCTAACCAGCAGAAGTGGTTGCCTCCCATATTTATCAATTTATTAACAGATATTTTCAGGGAAAACATTACACTAATCTGTTCAAAATTTTTAAATTTTTGTTCTTTAAATTTATTTTTAAATAAAATGAATATATGTGTGTGAAGATGTAAAACATTTATAATTTTAAAAATATATATAATATTTTAGTTTTTATCTATATATCTATATATATTGAAACGTATTTATTAGGTAATATTATAACATTGTATATATAAAGTTAAAACAAATTTTAGATAAATGATTATACACTGCTATTTTATTAATTAATTATTATATTCACATTAATCTCATATGAAATTTTATTTTAACATTATAAAAATCTATATAATATGAGAAAAAAAATTATAATTAATATTTAATATTATAAATCTCAATGAAATTTTATTTTACATTATAAAAATCTATATAATATGAGAAAAAAATTATAATTAAATATTAATATTAAAAAATAAAAATTAATATTTAATATTAAAAAATAAAAATGATTATAAATAATACTACATCTGTTACATAATACTTGTCACATTTGCAAAAAATAGCTTGTTTTAAAATACTTATCATATTTATGATTTAAAGGAGTAATAAATATTTTTTGTCTATGTTTACCATTTATATATGACCAATAATTGTTACTTCAATTTAATGATTTTCTTAGAAAATTAGTATTAAATTAAGAGTAATATAGATAATTTACTCAATTATTTATTGTAACTTACACAATTTTAATGATTTTTTTTTTAAGGAATATGAAATTTCAAATGTGAAAAATATTATGGAACTAAGCTAGTATGTAAAAGTGAGAAATGACATAAAAAAATTAAATGAGTACGAATAACGAGTATAGTCAACGTGCAACGCACGTCATAAAAGCCTAATAATTTACAAATAAGCCAACAACTTATAAGTCATTCTTATAAGTCATTCTTTAAAATTTTGGGTTCGGTTATATTATTGAGTTTATTTAGATATCAATTTTTGTTATCAAATCATGTTTATAGCAAATGACTTACTTACATCTGGTATATCATCTCATTAAATATACCAAAATCAATTAAAATTAATTTTTTGGACTCATTCACAGGTGTAGATAAATCTTATCCTATCCCAAGTATCTTGTTGCTATAAATTTTTATTATCATTATTTATTTCCTCTAAATCAAAATTTAAAATAAAAATAATTCTTGTTTTACAAAGCTAATTTTCTTCTTAATTAGAAAATTTTCAGTATATCAAATATTGAGATGATATGAAATTGAGTCACTTATAGTATTTACCATAAGAAAGTGAGTTTTTATAAAACATTTCCATGAGATGAAGCTAATGGATTAATGAATAGAAACCTAATAACATACCTTAATGGCTTCTATAACACAATCCAACTTCATACTAATACAGAATTGATATAATTATGTGCTCTTTAAGAGCAGAAATTGGTTGGGTGAATAAAGCCTAAACAAATTGAAGGCAGAAATGGAAGAAATGAAGACCATCAAGGCACAAGCTGTGACGCTGCAGAACAAAGAGCCACCAATTTGGAAGCAAAATCTTGTGAACCTGTTGCACCACTTCATCCACTGAAAGGCATTAGCGCCAACCACCACTAAAACTGAGTGCTCTATTGCTGCTGCTGTCGCCGCAAATGTAATGTACACTACAATCTTCAAATTTAGTAACATTACGAGCTATTAACAACTAAACCAACTGAGTTCTTAATACATGGTGGCTAGAAATGATTATGGATCGGATTCAGATTTGATTATGCAAAATTTACATCGGATTCGTAAAGATTTTCATACGTCCATATCCATATCCGCTTCACTCGGATTTGGATTGGATATTATCCATTTTTTATTATGTTCCAAAAAAATACTTAACAATAATTTAATAAAAATTCATATTGAATACATAAAAATTCCTAATAATAATTTGAAACATTGTATGCTACGACAACTAAAAGAGATTTTTTTTTTTTTTTTTTTTCCTAATATAATTGAAACATTGTTTGCTACGACAACTAAGAGATTTTTTTTTTTTTTTTTTTGGTACATTTAATCAACTTTTAGAAGAGACTTTAATAATTATTAGGCGCTAACAATAATATTCAACTAAAAGAGATTTTTTTTTTTTTTTTTTGGTACAAACAACTAGAAGAGACTTTAATAATTATTAGGCGCACAAAATATTCAAGCTATTGGTTGTAATATTTAACTCATATTCTTTTGTTTGATGTAGGAAATAGAAAAATACAAAAAGGTGAAAGAGTTGTAGATAATAATTTAAAATATTAATTAAAAAGAAAGAAGGAAGAGAAGAACAAAAGCAAAACAAGAATTACAATCAATGATTTAGAAATATAAGAAAATGTAAAATTATATTTGTGGATCGGATTTGAATCGGATTATGTTATATCCGTATTCAATCCATATTCGCATTAGATTTTATTTTAAAATTTATATCTGATTCACCATTAAATCAATCGGATTTTATTCACTCCATTTCGATTATACCGAATTCAATATACACCGAATCGGGTCATTTGATCATTTCTCCGATTCGATCATTTCTACTGGTGGCTAATGTTACCAGATAAATGTTAATTTTTTTTTATAACCATGTATGTAACACGACTATATATCATTGCAAGTTTTTCGATTTTTATGTTTCTTATTTCATTATTAGTATTTATTGCCAAGGAAAAATGTTATTAGTCTGTTCAACGTATTTGCTATTAGTTGAATTAAGCTGGGATCAGCCTTGGCTGAAAAGATTGGAGACTAATTACTAGTTATTTATATAAATATAATAATTCGTGATCTGTTAACTAAATTTTACTAAGGTGTAAACTTTTAAGATTTTATTTATGATTTTGTGATCTTTGAGTATGGGCCATGTGGCCCATTTACATTTTGATTGTTTGGGCTTGCGTAAGTTGGATCATTAGTCTTTTGATTCTTGGGCTTTAATCTCATCACTGGGTTAGGCCTGATTGGCGATTTACTCTTTATTTGGTAGGCTAATGTATAATGGCAAATCAAATAATATCCATTGAAGCAAAAGTTTTTCCAAGCTAAAATGTTGAATGTGTTGAAATAAAAGTTGAGATTATCGCTGTACTTTTCCTATAAATTAAGGTATCAATTTATATAGAGAAAAATACGATTTTATCTTCATACTTGGCATAATTAACTACTTTATCTTTATATTTATAAAATTATATTATTTTATCTTTATAGTTTATCTCTGTCAAACGAAATTATCCTTCTATCTATTATTTGACATTGAAATTTTCAACGGATCCAAACTATAAGGATAAAATAGTGTAAGTTTTAAAATATAAAAACAAAATAGTTAATTATGAGAAAACATAGAGACGAATATATGATTTTTTTTTCTATTTTATTTCATATATAGATAGAGTTAGTCATGTAATTTTTCACAAGCATTTAATGACTTAATTTTCAAATAATAGGCAGAAGGATAGTTTCATTCAATGGATCCAATTAAAGGGATAAAATAGTGTAATTTTTAAAATATAAGGATGAAGTAGTTAATTATGTCAAAATAAAGAGATTGAAATATAATTTTTTTTATTTATATATTTAATGGCCTAGATTTAGATATTTGGATATGTTAAGTTTTTTTCAGATTTTAATAATAATAAAAAAAATTTTTCTGATAAAAAAAATCAAAAATTCACTTGAAGTTTTGAGGGTTAATACTGTCATTACATCTATTAAAATTTTCTGTGTTGATCCACTCACGTCACATTAATATTGTAGAGCCCTACACACTATATGACAAACTTTACAGTTGACACAACAAATAAATTTTTATTTGATAAAATAATAATGCTGGATTTTTTTTATTTTATTTAAATTGTTAATGTTTAATCAATTGAATAGGAAAAATAGCCTCAATCTAATCCATTTTGCTAAAAGATTAGACAGCTAACGCTGAATTTAATAAACTATTACTGTAAATGTCACCTCTACTAGAAATTAACAATTATTTTGCCAAAATACTAAATATTGCTTCTACATCAAAGAAAAATTTATCCAAGTCAATAACAATAATAATAATAATAATAATAATTACTCTATTCTTTTTATGACATTACTTTCCCCCGGTCTTTTCCTTCTATACTTCAATCATTTTTAAATATGCGAATATGACATTTTTCAATATTTTATAAACAATATATTGCTAAAGTTAATAATCATTTTTATATTCATATCTATCTATATATATCTATTATTTATATATATAAATATACCATTTTTAAGCCATAAATATTTATGTGGCAATATATTAGAATATAAAACTAATGATGTGAAATTTTATTTTTTTCATTATAATTAAAGTTTTTTTTTTGCATTTAATAAAAATTAAAATTTTTTTATTAAATAATGGAATTACAAACTAATAAATCTATGAATTATTTTATTGTAATTAATATTTTTACATTTAATAAATATTTTATGATTATTTATTGTAATTATTTTACATTTAATAAATATTAGTTTTTTTTATTAATATAGTTTTTTCTATAAAAAAAAAACTTATGGCAATTATAAATTTAGGTTCATAGTTAATACAAATTAATAATATATATAGTTACATTAATAAATAGTTAAATATTAATTTCAATTCATGTAAATTTATTTCTATTAAAATTAATATTTTATGTCTCATGATAATTTGAAAATATATAAGAATTTTAAAGGACAAAAAATATATTAATTACTATATCCGGTTTAAATAGAATTAAAATATTAATTTCAATTCAGTAAAATTTATTTCATTAAAATTAAATATTTTTATGTCTCATATAATTTGAATATATAAGAATTTTAAGGACAAAAAATAATTAATTTACTATATCGGTTGAATTATAATAATTAATTATGTTAATTAATATTTCAGTTGATTGCTTGAGAATGTAAAAAAATATATATATAATTTTACTTTTTATTTTTTAATTAAAAATAAATAAGCAAATTATTTAAATTAAATCAACACAAATATATATTACAGTAATTTTTTTAAAAAAATTACATTCAATTTAATTTAAGAAATAGAAAATTGTACATTCCGCGGATACATATTCATATTATAAAATTAAAATTAAAGGATATTGATGAAACATAGTGTCAAGTTTAAGTAGTAATGTTATCAAAATTCAGAAGAACTGAACCAAACTCGCCAGTTGAAACAATTCCAGCACGCCAACATTAATTAATTTAACCTTAAAATAAAGAAAATAATTTATTTACACTAATTGTACAATTGAGATTAATCACAATACGTGTATATGTTTATTCGGAAAAAAAGGGGAGAAAAACATAAACAATGAAATAATTTTTTTAAAAAAATTTCTAATGACAATTGACTATTAACTCGTTCTATAATAAATAAATTTACAATTTTTTAATTTTTATAAGTGTAAAGTAAATTTTTTATATTTCCCTATATCTTCAATTTCATTTGAAAAATTTCTAAATTTTAAATTATAAAATTATACTGTACATAATTGTTTTAACTATTTACAAAACCAATAGTTTTTGACAATTAAGCCAACTATATATTAAACCGGTCGAATCTCAATTTATATCTTCTTTGATTTTGATAAACAGATTTCAAACACCATGATTGACCATAAGGTCCTTCTCCAAGAATTTTTTCTTTCCAAGGTTCAAGAAAACAAAAAAATGAAAAAAAATAAAAATACTCGTACTGAGCATAGAGACACACGTAAGTGAATAAAAACGAAAAAAAAAAAAATGAAAAAGAGTACCTGATCCAACAAGAAGCAACTCCAAGCAACAGATCTATAAGAAGCTTCAGATTTATAAGAAGCCTTAAAGCATCTACTTAGTTGAAGAAGATTATAAGCAGCAGCTACAGCATCCACATAAACCAAAACTCTATGCAGAAACACAGAAGATCAGAAATCATTTACAGAATCAAGAACAATATGAACTCAAAGAAGACAATACTTACAAGAGCGCTTTCAAGTCTTTACATGTGACCTTTTTCTCCATGTATACAACAGACTTTGTCTCTGAATCTAACCCTATTAGCAAGGATGTCATAAGCAATAGAAAGATTGAACTAAATCTAAGAAAAGCCTCAAGCTTTGGTGCCCAAAGCTTCATTTTTTGTTTACAAAGAGGCCTTCGTTTGCTATAATATCCTTTTGGTAGCGCAAGAAAATATCTTAGAGAATGGCATTTATAAACTTAAAGTACTGGTATAGAAATGTCCACGAAGACACAGAGTGGGTCAGTTCATTAACAAGAAAAGAAAAGGAAAGAAAATAAAAGGATAGAAAGTAAGTATTTATTGTTGAAAACACCTTGACATACAAATGTGAACCCTGTCCGCTATATCTAGGTTAGTCTTGTAATGGCTACGGTACGTAGGCTTTGTCTTTTTTAACACAATGTTTGGTTTGGTGAAATTGGCGATACACAGACTTAGAATCAACAGTTGATAGTATTATGGGTTAATTATTAGAATTACATTTGTCTAGAATACGGCTTCTGGGTCAACTATAGATAAACCGATTGAAATAGAAATTTATTAAAAATTATTTCCAATTTATAATCTTTTTCTTATAAATAAATAGTTAAAAATACCCTCTTTTCAACAAAAGATAATTTTTCATTCATTTCATTTACGGTGGACTTATAGAAATAATTTAGGTAAGTTAATTCCTAATTTTATACATCATGTTAAGTTTTTTGTTTTAATCCAATAAAAATTAGGTTTATAATAGAAAGGGATTCGCAGATGAAAAATGTTTTTCCCCTCGTTTATGATATAATTAAAAAAAAAAATTAAAAAGTAACTTTAAGGTAAATAGTAAATAGTAAACTCGTAACCAATTAAGATGTTTCGTCAATCATCCAATCAGTCCGCATATACATTTGTGTTAAATGATAAATGGTACTACTTATGTTTTTTCTTTTTTTTTTTTTCCCTTGAAGAATACTACTTATGTTATATATAAAGCAATATTCAATTAAGGATTCCCGTTGCACTTATTTGAGGATTAATAATTTGCAACTCCCATATAATAATTGTTAAAAGATTAAAATTCCCAGATAAATAAAAATTATAAAACTACTTTCTTTTTAAATATTAGAGAAGGAAAATTGAACTTGAATTTTAATCAAATAAAATATTCACCATTATACTAAGTTTGTGAGTGTATAGTAGGAGTGTGCAAACCGACGGTTCGGTTTCAAACTAAACCGAACTACAAAAATCAAAATTTACTTTTTATTGAAATTGATCTGTATCGAAATAAGTTTGGAAATCGCACCAAATTGGTCGAATGGTTTGGATCCTCAAAATATAATTATTTTTACAATAATTGATCTAAAAACCGAAAATCGAAGTTATAAAAGATTAAAAATTGAAACCGAAAATAATTCGGTTTTGTTTAGTTATTTTTGATTTTTTTCTAAAATTTGCTGACCCTCGGTTTGTGTTATACTATTGATAGGTTATTCAACATTTGCTATAATCATGTATCTTATAGCTAATATTGGATGCAAATTAATGGTTCTTTTTTTCAATTAATTGTCTGAACATGATGGCTCAATCTTAATGAGTTTGCTGGAAAGGTATTGACTTTAAAATTAGTAAATGTTAGAAGTTAGATATCATATCTGGTCTTTGTAAGGCCTGAATCGTCGTCATACTATCACTTTCAATTTGTATGGCAGTAGTAAGATCACGTGTTTTCACCCAGCTCAAAGCCTCCCTGATAGATAAAGCTTCTGCCATTAACGAGCTAGCCACCACACCTAGGTCCATCAACTTGCCACCCAAACAGAAGCCAAGATGGTCACGCAAAATCCAACCGCCACCAGCCCTATGGGTATTAAGATCAAAAGCTGCATCAACGTTAAGTTTCAGAGTACCTTGCAAAGGAGGATGCCATATCGACGTAGCCTTGGCACCTACAGCTGCATGGTATCGCGTCTTTGATGCCATAATGTGAATTTTGTTATGTTTAGTAATTCTTTTGTTAAGAAAATAAAGAATGTACTAAAGAAATAATGATTTAATAATAGAAATATTTAATATATAAAAAATAAGTTTCTTTCTTAAGTAATTATTAAATCTTTTGAAAATAATAAAACATTTAGTATATGTATTTTTCTTTTGGGTATTGAAAGGGGATTCCAACCTGAATATATTATCAGGTCATATATATACTTATCAATAGATTATATTTTGGCGTAAAATATATATATATATTTTGTTCACTTAAGTGCCTTTCAGCTCCGGCCTGTGTAGTACAAAAAAAAAAAAAATCTCTTTATACATCTAATGGTTTTAAATTTTAAATATATGACATTATAGATATAAAATATCTAATATTTGCCTTTCAGGTGTAATCTAGTTAATCTTTTTATTTATATAATAAATAAGAAGTCTCAAATTTCTATAAAAATTTAAATCAATTTAACGATTGAAGGAGAGGATTATCTCTGTGATGTTGTTTCGGATAACACCGCCTAATTTATGACATAATATTCCAAACCTATTTAAATTAATACTGAATAATTCAAATTGAGCAGCAAACAGTGTATAGATAGAGCGAGCTGGCATTTAAGTTTGATGGGACACCCAGCTGCCTCAATAAATACATTTGCTACTATCACTTGTAAATTAGAGTTAGATATCATATTGACAGGACATACGTCCTTTTCTTTTCACCGTGAAACATAGCACCACTTGCTCAATTCTTATATCATATCCTTTTCTTTTTTGCTTTTACCAAATGCCTTGTTTCGATACAATTGTAACTAATATTAAAATTGTACCTAATATTAAAATAAAAAATAATATTTTATTCATTAAATTAAATATAATTTAATGAATAAAATAATATTTTCAAATTGTATCCAATGAAATAAGAAAATATTATATTCATCTTAAAAATAAAAAACTTTTTGTCTGTATAGATAATGTTAACAATAAGTAACGATTTCCTAAAAATAAAATTATGCTGCAACGAATAAAATCTATTTTTATAAAAAATAATCTAATTTAAGTATAATTTTAATAAACCTTATCTAAAATTTCATGTGTAAAAATGGCAAATAAAAAATCTAAACTAATATTCTATTTTATGCTTATAACTGACTAAAATTTATTATTTACTTGGCTTTTTATGAATTAAAAAAATTCCTAATCGATATTAGCTAGTGTGTTGTCAAACATTGAGTTTTTGGTTAATCTGACCATATAAGTCCAATGAAAAAAAATATTTTATTTATTAAATTGTGTATAATTTAAAATTATGGTGCTATGTAACTAAAATTGAAGTTCTGAGTACTTGGAGAAAAAAAATGGATTTAGAATATAATTAAAACTACTTACAAAGTTTGAGGTTTTTTTTTAATGATAAGCCAATGAAATATGAGTCTTTTTTTCCCATGTGTTTTCACATTTCAAACATATGCAATTAAATTAACACATGAAAATCTATATTTTCAAAAACTAATTATAAGATCTCTAACTTATGATTATGTTAATACATTGGTCCTTTTGTCCAAAATTACATTTTTAATAGTTAGGTAACTGAGATTTTGATCCATAAATTATAATCAAACTAGCTATGAGGTTTCTAACCTATGATTTCCGTTAATACTTTAGTCATTCTCTTGTGAATTTCGTTAACAATTTGTGTGACATCCTACCGAGTTGAGTCTTTGCATTGAGTCGAGTCTTGCATTGAGTTGAGTCGAGTTGAACCAAACCTGGTTGGGGTAGAAAACAATTTGTGTGACATCCTACCAGAGGTTGAAGTTTTGCATTGAGTCGAGTCCTTGCATTGAGTTGGTCGAGTTTGAAACCAACCTGGTTGGGATAGAAGAAAGAGATTAGAAGTGGACTTATTTAGAAAGAGATTAGAAGTGGACTTATTTGCAAATAAAGGTTAGGACTTGTTTGCATTAAAATATACAGCTTGGGTATTAAGTTGTAGCCTTTGTACACTTGAGGTGCCAATTAGAGAGGTTATACAGCCAAGTCATTTCATCTAGAGACTACCCGTTCTTATCAACTCACTTTCCCATTTTCACGTTTCTCCTTCTCTTCTTACTTGTCCCGCCCATTTTCTTTCAATTGTCAACATAGTGAAGCATTAAGTCAACTTCAAGTAAGTAAAATTCCTTGAAGTGTGATGTTATTTCCTATTTCATTTAGTGATATTGGAGATGAGTTATGAGAATTCTTGTGTATAGGAGAAGAAAGTGATGATGATATATGAGGATGAAGGGAGTTCGAAGAGTGTAGTAGCAAGGAGATAGGCTAAAACAGAGCTCTACTGCGTTGTTGTGAGTGACCAAGGTTGATAATCTCTTCTGATTTCTATAATCATCTCCTTTGTCCTGAGAATCTATAGTTGGTAACGAATGAGTTGCTATTAAAGGGCAATTATCACATGATGCGACAAATATTATTGCTTCATAATAAAAGGTGTGGTGAGATAACAGGGGAGGATTCGAGTTATTTGAAAACAGGGCGAGGACTTACTTGATTTTTTGACACCCATCTTTTAAATGAGGGAATTAGAAGTGTCATAAAGAGTGTATTTGTTTCTGCTATGTTAGACTTTGACATGCGGGTTTTTTGACATCAACCTCATAATGGAATGTGTATATGAGAGATTATGACCAGAGAATGAAGTGTCAAGACTGCTGTAGGGCGCTTGAAACGCGTCGCGACCTGTGCACTAGTCTTATGTATGCTAGTCGTGAGGGTATCGGAAGCACGTTCGCGCGCCTCAGACCCTGATTCTCGGACTTTGCAGGCTGGTCTCGCGCAGCAACTAAGTCAGCTCTCAAACTCACTTGACTCTCGAATTTCAGTTGCTCGTCATCGCTGACGTCCAGCGTATATGAGTTAATCAGGGTAAAGAACGTTGCCAAGCAGCCGTAAAAATATGGATTTTCCGCTACTGAAAGGTTCTGTGGATATGGTTTGGTTTTTGATAGAATAAGGTGAATGTGATCCGATATTGTTGTTGGAATATTTTGACTTGCGCATTATGGAACCAAGGTGTTAATTCTTGCAAGAACCCGATTTCAGCGAAGTTGGCCCTTGCTGGCGTACTGGAAACGCACGGGCGTCGCTTTGGCTTTGCAACTGCGCCTTTGTCACTTATTATGTTAAGTTTGCAGCATGCAAAAACTCTCTTG